TAGCACTTCGGCTGCCTAGATCAGCTCCCAGTCTCCAGTGGCAAGATTTAAATTTAAAATTTTTAAATACGCACCCCTTTCACCCAGTTTTCATCAGGAGAGCCATAAAAGAACTATATATATATATATATATATATATATATATATATATATATATATATATATTTAAATTCACTGATAATAAGCCTCTTCCCTCAAAAGAATCAACCTGGAGCCTGGGCCGCCTTTCTCAACCCAAGAGTGAGCACTGTCCTCTCTTCTCTCCCGCGGCCCAGGTTCTCACCTGGGCTACACACCTGCCCCATCTTGGGAAGCTTCTCAGGTTCCCAGGGCCCACCGGGCCCAAGAATTAAACCAGAATCTCTGAGGATAGGACTCAGGCACCAGCATTTCCAAATCTCCAGGTGATTCCAAAGCGCAGCCAAGGGCGAGAACCTCCACACGAGTCAGGGAAGAGATACAGACACCGTCCATAGCTTCCGCAACTCTAGGTGAAGTAACGCATAACGGAACCAACATGACTCAAGGCGAACGGAGATTCACCAGTGAAGTTCCTATAGCAGTGGTCAGCAAACTGCGGCTCACGAGCCAAGGTTTGCTCTGTTGACTAATGAGTTTGCCTAACACTGTCCTACAGTTGCTCATCCACCTTACAACAAAACGACATGGAAGGGGATGATGTTATTCCAGGACCTGCTGTGCTGAGGATGCCCGGATGCGACGGGAAAGGAGAGAAACGGAAAGCTGCACACGGAGGGCAGGGAGCCGAGAGCCGGCCCAAGACGCTTGCGTCCTCCCCAAGCCCGGCAGAGCAGCAGGGGGTGGGTGGGAGCAACAGGTGTGCGCCAGCCAGGAGAGCGGCCCCACGTTCCTCTGCTCCCACCGCCTGCATCTCCTGAGGACGTGCACCCTCCCAGCCGCCAGCATTCAGCAGCGTGGGCCTTGGACCTGAAGGGGGCAGGGCTGCGAGTGAAAGAACCGGGCTGCTCGGTGAGATGGAACGAAGCCCTTTGTGTGGGGTGCTGGACGTGGCGGCTCACTTCTTAATTCTCATCGCGATGCAGTTCACGGGAGACTCCGGGAATGTCTTTATCCATCACAGATGGTTTGGGGAGATGATAAATTAATATCGCTTAAATGGGGGGCCCAGCTGAGATGGTGAAACGGGCACCGTCTTCTTTGCCGGCTCCAAAGAGAAGGCGCCCCCCCCCAGTCCCTAAAGAAGACAAATGGCAAACAAAACCCCCTATCGCTTGACAGATTCCGGGATGCGTGTCATTCACAAGCCATTCTGGGGAGAAAAGAGAGAGATTCATCTCCGCTGACTTTGTATGGGACCACGGCCTGCGCCATAATGAGGCCTTCGCGGGGCTGTGAAATCGTGCTGAATAGCCAGGGAGTGCAGCCGCCTGTTCCCGGGCATGTTTATCACGGGCCTTTGTACGCGCCAGCCCAGCCAGCCGGGGCTCGGTTCTGAACCCCTGGAGAGGAGAAAGCACCCAACAAATTTGTTGCTACGAAACTTCCCAGATGGGGGACGGCATAGTAACGTCTGGAATCGAAGGCCCTTGCTGCTCCGCACTGTTCCTGTCTGGGTCCACCCCTGCTCTGGACTGAGCACGGCTGGGAGTCAGCCAATGGCTAGGAGCGTACGTACGGGTGGCCTCAGCCCCCCCGCCGGGCTCCTCCCAGGCCCTGGGAAGTCGGGCGGTGAAGAGGGCCCTGAGGCCATTCCTCAGCTCAACTGCCAACCTGAGTCCGGAGCCGCGGGCAGTGGTCTCAGTTCCCCCAGAAAATGCACCGGAAACAGAGCAAAGGAGGACGCATTCGGCCTTCACCTGCAGGCTGGGCCCAGGTCAACCCCAGGAGGCCAGGGCACGGGGGAGGGGTTTAGGAGGGGGGCTCCTCGGCAACAAGGTTTTGGGAAGCTTCTGAGAGCAAACCCAGGGAGATCAAAAGACCCGGCCAAATGCTTCCGCCAAAGGAACCACTTCCTTCACCCAGTGGTCAGCACACTCATTCGTCAACAGAGCCCAGTATCAGCAGTACAACGGTTGAGATTTCTTTGGAGAGCCGAATTTTTTAAACTTAAACTTCTTCTAACGCCACTCCTTCAAAATAGACTCGCCCAGGCCGTGGTATTTTGTGGAAGAGCCACACACTCAAGGGGCCAAAGAGCCACATGTGGCTCGAGAGCCGCAGTTTGCCTACCAGTGCCTTAAACCATCCAGTCCGGGGAAGGCAAGGCAGCGGGCACCCTGGAGAGGACGAAGAGACCTCCACCTGCAGATCTCAGGGGTGTACTTCCCCCGCCAGCATCTCGGCTCCTGACAAGACTGCAGGGCCTCTCTCAGCTGAGCAGTATCCTGAGAGGGGACTGTGGATTCAAAGTCCCCACATGCCTGCCCAGCGGGGGTGACATCCGGAAAAGCAGAGCAGAGGGGGAACCTGGAACCATCAGGTCACATTCTTCTTGCTCAGCACTCAGAGAGCCATCCTTCAGGCAGTGGCTTTTCACCACCACCAAGCCCTTCGGGTAATACTTTCCCCCACCAATCAGTGTGAGGACCGGCCACGTAGCATTTCCCCTCACCAATCAGGTGGCAGGATCCTGGAAGCATTGTTTTTCCTCACCAATCAGGACACACTGAGAGTTCCCGCCCTTTCCTGTGACTTTCCCCAGTAGAAAATGCAGGAATCCTTCTGAGCAGAATCCATCCATCCATTCCTTCTCCTCTGAGGGTTCTTCTCCCTGTGCTCCCGCCAAGACGGGCAGCTGCTATCCAGGGCTGAGAGGGAGCACACAGCCCCCACGCTAGCCAAAGGGTGTGAAATAAGACCGGCCACACCCTTGCCTGCCTGCATTTGTTCCTCCTGAAAGCTGGGTGTCCACACATCATTCACCCAGGTGGTAGAGCCCCGGAGAATGGCCTCCAGGTCCCAGAATCCTGTGGCTTCTTGACATGTCACTCGAAGTGTAACAGAGGAGAGGAGGGGGAGGCAAATGGCAAGATGGCCAAGATGCTCCTTCCTGTCTCTCCAGGGGACACCTCCCCGGCTCTGACAGCAGAAACTGACACGGAGAGCCCAGATCTTCTCACCCACCCGGCCAATTTCCCCATTTATCCAGCTGAGTGGCCACTCTTGATCAAAATTTGTTGGCTAAATCCCCAAGATATCTGTGTGCAAGCAAGCTGTTGGCTTCAATTTCTTCTGTCAGGGAAAGACAATGAGCACTGGGGCATAGGTGAAGGGGTTGGATTACCTTCAATTATGCTCTCTGACAACCCAAAGCCCTCACTCCCTCGTCATGTCCCTGCTCAGGCCTTCCTGCCATGGCAGGCCTTGTTTGGGTCCCTTTCCCCAGGCCACTTCCTTAGTCCCTGCTCAAGTCTCCTGGGGGGAAGGGAGTGGTGGTGGGGGGAAAAGGAAGGGGTTCTCACCTGGATGAGTTACTGTTTGATGTGGAAATAGCCCAACTACCTGTATGCTTAGGTTTCTCTGGACAACCACCAGAGGCAGCCTTCAGCCCACAGATCTGAGAGGAGCCACCTGTTCATTTGGAATCGAAGGGATTTCTCTCAGAAGATGCAGACTGGGAACCTGCTTTGTTTTTGTGGGTTTGTGGGGTGTGTTTTTGGTGTGTGTGTGTGGTTTTTCTGTTTGTTTGTTTTTAAGAAAAGTGTTTCATACAAGCAAGGCAGCTTCATGGGCCACATGCTCAGAAGGTCACATGCTTGGTGGAAGTTCTGATGTTGCCATTTTGAAATCCTCAGTAATTCCTGAACAAGAAGCCCTGTGTTTTCTTTCTTTTGTGTGTGTGTGTGTGTGTGTGTGTGTGTGTTATTGATTGCAGAGAGGAAAGGAGAGAGAGAGATAGAAAATCAGTAATGAGAGAGAATCATTGATCAGCTGCCTCCAGCACTCCCCCTACTGGGGAAGGAGCCCGAAACCTGGGCATGTGTCCTGACCAGGAATTGAACAGCGACCTCCTGGTTCATAGGTGAACACTCAACCCCTGAGTCACGCCGGCCGGGCATGAAGCCCTGTGTTTTCATTTTGCACGGGGCCTGCGGATCGTATAGTTGTCCTGCGTACCAGTGCCCGACATCCGGTGGATTCCTGTTGAGAAGATGATACTCTGGCTTCGTCCAAAGGCTAAGCAGCGGCCACAGAAGGATTTCCCTGCTGCAGCTCATTGTCTGGGCCCGAGTCTGCCATGGCTTGGGTCCCTCACGTGTCCCCCAAGAGCCCTCAGAGATATCACCTTGGGAAGCCATTCTCACAGCAAGCCCTGGCTCCAGGCTCCAAATTCTGGACCCAAGGAGCTCTGATTCCTGGAATTCCCAGAAGTTAAGTGGGGGAGGGAGGGCTCACTTCTCCCCAATATCCTGCAGTTCCCTGGCGTTTCATCAGCTCCTCTGAGCCATCTCACCATCGCTTCGCTTGTGTTGGTGGGAGAAAACAAACACGCCGTGTTCAGCCATGAGGGCTTGCTTCTGTGAACGAAAACAGTCTCCTCCCCCCCGTTCGCGGTAAAGCTACTTGCAGGTGGATTAAATGCTCCCCCTGCGACCCTGCCCCCGGAGCTGCACTGTCTGTCTGGGCGAGCTGGGGGTGGGGCCGGAGGGGCACGCAACATCCAAAGAAATCCGCCTGCCCGGTTCTGGTAAAATAGAGTCCTTTGTGCGGCGATAAGCCCGGTGAACCTGACCCCCGCCCTGTGGTATGCAGCACACCTGTGCGAGGGACAAGCAGCTGGGCGGGGGCGGGGCGGCCTGCACCCTCGGGGAGGTCACACCTCTTTTCTTCTCCCCAGCCCCTTCTGCATCGCCCCTTTGTTTGGGCCTACACCTCCGAATGCCAGGGAAGCCCTGTGTGCGTGCGTGCGTGCGTGCAGGCAGGCGCGCGTGTGATCGTGGACAAAAGCAATGGGAAAGGAGAAGCACCCAGGAAAGAGAGGGGGCAGGGTGCCCGCGGCCCCGCCCCCCGCCGCCTACCTTTGCAGGCCTTCCGGTGGGTGATGGGCTTGCCCATGTCGCGGTAGTAGCCCTCCTTGCAGTAGTGGCAGTGGCGGCCGGCCGTGTTGTGGCGGCAGTTGAGGCAGACGCCCCCGCTCTTGCGCCCGGACAGCTTGTAGAGCTCCATGTTGAAGCGGCAGCGCCGGGCGTGCAGGTTGCAGCTGCAGGCTGTGGAGGGGCAGGGAGAGATCAGGAAGGGGCACCCGGGGGGCCGGAGACTGCCCCCGAGCCCCCGCCTCCACTGCAGACGGGCGAGGCAGACATTTCCGGGAGAGCTTCTCCTGGGCTCCCGCGTCGCCCACCCCCACTCCCGGACCGCCCGGCAGTGCCCGCACCACGGGAGGTTTCCTCCCTCAGCACCGGCCCCCCAGACACACTCGGCATCTCCTTGGGCCCAAATCCCGCTTGCCAAGGGCTGTCTTGTGCCGCCCCCATCCCAATGCTACCCTATAACCCCGGAGCTCAGAGTGTGACGTGTTTGGAGACAGGGCTTGAAAGAGGTGGTTATGTTACAATGAGGCAGCGAGGGCGGGCCCTCATCCAATCCGGCTGGTGTCCTGGGAGGAAGGAGTGTGGCCACGGAGCAGGACACCAGGGCACACACACAGGAAAGACCAAACCAGGCACGGGGAGAAGGTGGCAGCTGCAAGCCACCTGCCGCACAGGACCCCAGCCTTCCTTCCGCCCTCCCTCCCGCCTCCCTCTGCGGGTCCCTCCTGCTCCTCAGGGTTCAGCACCCTTTCCCTTGTTCACGCCTCACAGCCACAGGACCGCCTCTGCGCCCCTGACTCCCAGATCCATGAAATCCGCTTGGACTTTGGGGTCCACACTGGGACCCAGAGGTGCGTCCTCCAAATCCATTCACTGCTCTCCGGGCTGCCAGACCGCAGCCCTTCTGTCTCCTGAGCTGAGCCCTCTAGGCCAGTGTTTCCCCAAGTGTGGTACGCGTACCCCCAGGGGTACGGGAAGAGTTTGGTCGGGGTATGTGTTGCACCGGAGTTTGGTGGGGATATGCACTGCACCGTGCTTAGCTGCGCCTAATTCTACGCTCTCATGAGTGCGAGGGATATTCAGCGCTACGAAAATTATAGAAGGGGTACACATATGTCAAAAGTTTGGGAAACACTGCCTAGGCCAAGCATGTCAAACTCCCAGCCTGCGGGTCACCTGCCTCGTTTAAATAAACAGGTTACTCTAGGCCCGTAGTCGGCAAACTCATTAGTCAACAGAGCCAAATATCAGCACTGCAATGATTGAAATTTCTTTTGAGAGCCAAAATTTTTAACCTTAAACGTCTTCTCACGCCACTTCTTCACAACGGACTCGCCCAGGCCATGGTATTTTGTAGAAGAGCCACATTCAAGGGGCCAAAGAGCCACACGTGGCTCGAGAGCCGCAGTTTGCCAACCACTGGGCTAGGCTGTGCTCAGAACAGGAGGGCTCTAAGCATCTGAGGATGCCCTTTCCCTACTGAACTCTTTCATCAATGGCTCCCAGGTTTTCCTCTGTATAAAATCGAAGTCATTTCACCCGGCCTCGAGGGCTCTGGATACGCTGATTCTGCTCCCACTTCTCGCTCTTAAGCTCCAGCAAGCTTGCTTCAGTCTAGGTATGCCCTGTGTGAGGAGCCCCTGCCTGTACCCGCTATGACTTTCCTGGTCTCTGGGACCCACTCCTCCCAAGCCCCCTCCTCACCTGCCTGCCACCTGCTCACCCTCCAGGGTCTCAACTGTCACCTCCACCAGCCTGGCTTAGGCACGAGGGCCACGGGCTCCCCGGGCATCGGCACGGCCCCCAGCCCTCCTCACGCCACCCCGGGAAGCGCGCTGCCCGCTTCCCCCTCAGGTCTCTGACGCCGAGATAACTCGACCTTAGATCAGCCCGATCTTGCTCACTCTGCACCATAACTTGCCCCTCTTTGGGGCTAGGCTTGTTTTAAGTGGCATCTTACGTAGTTTCCAAGGAAAGACGTGTTTAATGCCAGGCATTTGGAAAACAAAAGCAGAAAGGAAAAAACTGCACTCAAATTTCCACCGACTGCTGCTAACACGGGGTCCGTCCTCGCAGACTCGAATGAACACTTTCGCTCAGCTGTGGAGCAGTTTAACTCTGCAGACACGGATTACACGTGGGCACCTCAGGCTTGTGGCCTCATTCCTCATGAGGGTGAACATTTTAGTGTCAGACAGCGTTCTTCTTGATTTTGAAGGCCTATCTAGTCCACCACCGTCCGGACACGTGTCACGGGGCCGCCTGGATCTGCAGAGGGTGCAGTGAAGCTCAGGGCCTCCCCGGGCTGGTTGGGTAGTTGAGTTGCTCCCAGTGTTTCACTATTATGAACAACACACCGACAACCACCTCTGCACTCCCAAAATGTTCCTCTTATCTGATGACGGCTGTCTAGAAAGTTTCTCAAGACAGAGTTGGTAGCCGAAACCGGTTTGGCTCAGTGGTAGAACATCGGTCTGCGGACTGAAAGGTCCCAGGTTCGATTCCAGTCAAGGGCATGTACGTTGGTTGCAGGCACATCCCCGGTAGGGGGTGTGCAAGAGGCAGCTGGTTGATGTTTCTCTCTCATAGACGTTTCTAGCTCTCTATCTCTCTCCCTTCCTCTCTGTAAAAAATCAATAAAATATATTTTTTAAAAAAGAGAGTTGGTAGTTAGATTTGGTGTCTACAAAGATGTCCCACTTTTGGCGGGACAGCCCCGATTTTTTGGCGGGACGCGGGACAGATTGTTGGGAATCGGGACTGTCCCGCCAAAAGCGGGACGTCTGGTCACCTTAGTCTACATGTTTTAATTTGGGATCCAAACTGCCAAATTCCCCTCAAAAAAGGTTTCCACTCCCATCAGCAGGATATGAGAACTCCTATGGGACACACCCTTGAAAAGAACAACATTATGCATTTGGTATCAGCATTTATTTAAAAAAAAAATCTTTGCCCATTCGTGTGGAAAACACACACACACACACGATTTTAATTTGCATGTCTTTGATTGCCTGTGATGCTGAACGTCTCTCCATGTTTGTCTTCCCGTTTCCCCTTCACGTTTTGTGCATCGCCTGTTCGTGCCATTTGCCTAGATTTCACACAAGGTGTTGTTTTTCCCACCACGTCCAGCGCACTTAAATACGATGGATGGAAAACCATCTGTCCTTTCTACTATATGAGCCACCAACATTTTTACCAGTTTCTTATTCAGGTATTACTTCTGTGGTTTTCACAAAATGTCTGCCCCTTTAATGTCTTCCTGTGATGGCATCATAAGCTTCTTTAAATGTTCTCCCCGGAGTCATCCTCCCTGTCACGCACCCGTTCGTTCGTCACTGGATTAACATGGCGGGATGGCCCAGTGCCTGAGAAGGCTCAGAGGGGGACAGAAGGCAGCTCTCGCCTGACGTGTGGAAGCAGCGGGACCCACGAGGCCAGGGACGCTCCCTCAGCACCACAGCCCTCGGTGCTGAGCTCAACTAAGTACAAAGAGAGAAGCCCCAGCCCCCAGCACCAGGGGTCATGGTGCATACACAAGTTCATGGTCCCTGTGGACTCTCAACTGGTCCAGGGTGACAGGGAGCTTCTCAGCGAGGGTAAGTGACCTACCGGCCTGGGACCACCAAGCCAGTGAACGGGGGACCCGGGACTGGAACCTATGTCCTCGGGCTCCTGGTCCACTGCCCTGTGGAGAGGACTGGGCCCCTGGAAGGAAGGACAGCTGGGCCTAGGCTACAGCCTGGGAGGGAGGCTTTCCTACCAGACAGAAGGCACAGGGCCTGGCACACCTGCCCAGGGACAGGGATCTGGAAAGATCACCCAGGCCTCACTCCCTCGGTCCCTTGTCCTGGGAGAGACCTCAGGGGCAGTGTCTTCTCAGTCCTTCTTGGAGGCAGATGCTAATCCTGTGTCCTTCTCTGTCAGGATGGCTCCAGCTGCCCCCCTTATGCCCCCAACAGGACCACCCCAGCCTCTGAGCCCCCGCACCCCCACCCCGACTCCCACCCTGAGGAAAACCCTGGGCTGGCTTCTCCCTTCCACAGGCACCTTACATCAACAAAAGGTTCTTCAAACAACTGGTCACACAAAAGAAAGCTCAGAGGCTGAACATCAAAAGGCAGGGTTCCCCCAACCCCCCATCCACCCCACCCCCACCGCTGGTCTCAGGGGACATCAAGTGGCAATTGCCCACGCTCAGCCTTCTGCAAAGGATTTTACAGCTTGTTTTCTTTTCTCTTTGTTTTATTTTCTCTGCGCAGATGGAAAAATGCACTGGGCAAAGCAGCTCACATCTGGATCCCCCGGGCTGCTCCACACAGAGATGTCGCCCCATCCCAACCTGTCCCCAGCCCCTTTCTCAGAGACACCTTAATCCCTCACGCCTTCCTGTTTACCTCCTGCCTCTCTGCGGGGCAAAAATATTGGGTATTAGTTTCATTATCGGATTTCAAGGCGGGAAGGAAAGGGCAGCTTTGTGAGCACAGAGAGGTCAGCCCCAGGGAGGAGAGAGGGGGCTGGGGCAGCACAACTTCTGAGGAACCTGCACGGGCTGCCCCGGAAGGCGCTGTGTCCTGTGCAGGGGTCGCCCAGCCACCCCAAGCTCTATGCCCCCTCACCTGTCATGTGGGGATCGTCAAGGACACACCGTGGGGGGCTGCGTTGCAGACCCAGAGGCATAACATGGGGCAGGAGTGGGGAGGAAGAGGTCGTCCCCCCCGCCCCCCACGTATCCCCCTAACCAGAAACCCAACAGGAAAGAAGGCCCAAGAGACGAGGTTCTAGTTTCTTCTCCCGTGAAAAGTTCTCCCATGTCCTCGTTGAACATGTGCCAGTCACCACGCTCCTTAAGCTTTTCCTAAACCGTTCCCACTAATCCGGACTGTGCAACCCCGCACCGCCCCCTGCCAGCTCATTCCAACACAGAGAGGGGCGCTCCGGCTGCCTGCCAGGCCCTGTGCCGCCAGCCGTGAGAGAGACGGGATGGACGGTGCTCCCCCGCCCAGAGCTCCCCTTCGGAGGGAGGTGAAGGGACAGGCGGGCAAGCTCAGCAGCCGTGGAGGAACAGTGTTTGCCTTGTACCCTCCAGCCCAGAGCAGACCTCAATGGTTTTGTTGCACAAATGAGAGAGAGCAAAAAAGTAAGTCAGACAACATGAATGGATGGATGGAAGGATG